TTTAAAGGCTGCAAGCCCATGACGAAGGGTCTGAAAGTAGGAGGATATTTTAGATAATTATCTGGATACTGCATCCATCTAATGATTTTTGAAGGAGAATGGATTGGAAGCTGAAATTTTGCTTTTTAACTTCTTTTTTTTTTTTCAGGTCCTGAAGTGCTAGATAGACACTAGAGAAACTGAAAAATGGAGCCAGGTTCTGTATTTCCTTCCATTGTGTCAAATAGCACCACTGGTTCTACCTTACATCTACTGTGTAGCTTGTCATACGTGGTGCAGTCTATTTGCACATGAGTCTATTAACAGGACTCCTGTGTAACTCCTTGCATGTAAGGAATGCTTGCCAAAAGCCACCGTGCCCTGAGCAGTGAAGGGAAAGAATAGGGACTCCTTTGTTGCAGGTTTAGGGTGTTCATGTGGCATGGACAAATGTTAAATCCCAGTTCTCTCGTCTTAATTTACATTCTATGTTAAGCTGGTGTTATTGGCCTGTTTGAGGTACCAACCTCCTGCATGTCCGGGTTGCTCCTAACCTGTCGTGTCCTCCCAAGGCCCTGCAAAAATTTGTGGTGGAGACAGAAGGAGACTTCTCTGATACAAGTGCTTCAGCATCTGGCTAGGGTCCCTAATTAAGATGCTGCTAAACTCTGGGCCTTCCAGCTGTTGTGTGCATCCCTAGTTTGAGGGGGCCTTCTGAACCACCTTATTGATATTTGCAGGGATTTGCCGTAAAAGGATTCTCACAAGCTCTTGGGTGCCTTTTTTAAAAATTCTGTTACTAAGGAAGAGTGCATCTGGAAATCGTTTCTTGGCTTTGCATGAGCTCAGCCCACCTTGAAATCTGCCAAACTTGACCTGTGCTGGTGGTGACAGCAGTGAACTAAAACATGAGCTAAAACAAAGCATCCACTGCCAAATTGTTCAGCAGCATGTAGAGGAATGAGTGAGGCTTATTTGTCTATACAAATCCTTCTCGAGGGAAGGAGGAGAAATCTAGATTATCTTCTTCAGTTCCCTGGGGAGGAGGATAGCTTGATGTAAAACTACTTTGATTTATGTAGTCATTATAACCTGATCACAATGAATAATGCAATATCACTTGCTCATAACACTAATGTTAAATGGATATTCTGGGAAAGTAAAATTGTTCTGTTGCCGAGTGCAACTATATTTTTACAGACAATATATGGACAACTTTGCTGTTTGTTTTGTGAAGCCAGTGAACTAATCTACTTATCAATGTACTTTTTAAATCACTCTAAACAAATTTCTAGTACAGCTTGGACTATAGTAACTAAAGTTATTGTGGTTTTTTTACTGAAAAAAAAAAAGTAGAGAACATACTATGAGAAATTGCTTATGTTACTGACAGGTCCACTAGGTTATCAGAATTGCAAAAGTCAAGTTTTTGGCAGTAGCCCAGACTTTGTGAATGTCATCCAAAGCTGTGTGATAGCACTTTACTGCTTTTAGAAAGACCAATTTGCCATTTATTTGACAACAGCCCCTATAAATGCCACTGTATTTGTTTGGTTGGTTGGTTAGTTTTAGGGCAGAAAGCCCCAATAAAATGGGTCAGCTTTCCCTAAAGTCTTGCTGCTTGTTGGTGAGATAAATTTGCTAAATTACGCTTTGAACTATTGTCCTTTAACAGGGATAAAGCAAAGTCAAGGAAGTACATGATGGGGTTCTTTGGCCCTAAAGTGGAATAGGTTGGCTTTGCCTTAGTGCATTGTGTATTTTTAAAAAAGTACATGAGGAAATATCTGGCTTAGGTTTAACCCCACCCAGCCCCCAACCCCTGCCGCTGACCTAACATACAAAAAATAGCCTTACCTTCCAAATTTCTAAACTATGTTTGATATATTTCTGGACACTCTCTTTAGATCTATTTTTGAACCCAAATAGAGAGGAATAAGGGGAAAATCAGCTTGAACTGAACTATAAACTTTGGTTTTATCACTTGGACTTCTGTTTGCTGCATAGAATTTTCATGTAGTAAAGAATGAGATTTTGGGGCATTTGAAATCTAGCTCTTTTTGGATCCTTTTGGAGGTGATAGAGGCTGACATGGTGTTCCTCCTTCACCTGAGTTTACAGTAGGTCCAGGATTCAGGCAGTCATGGAGGACAACAAGGCTCTGTTTTTGCTGTCCTGCAAGAGTATTTCAAACTATATCTGAACCATGAAACCCAGTAAAGTCAGAGGGAAATCTTTCCACTTTACTAAGCCAGATGATGGCTGGTTCCAGATGGGAATAACAGCTCTTTGCCTTGCAGTGCATTTCCAGCATCAGGAGCAGCAGCAGGGTTAGCTGAGGAATCCTGCCCAGTCTGTAAGACGTGGAGTGGAGAGGCAGTGATCCAAATGCTCACGTTGTGCAATTCCTTTGATGTTGCTCCTTTGCCTTCAGTTGTGGTAATGACTTGCATCAGCTGATCTGAAGAGCCAAAGATAGAACGGACTGATTTCACATGACCTTGGACATGCATGTTGGATCACCTCGCTGGCTTTCTGATGATCTGCTTTGTACGGTCACGGTGTTGTTTCCCTTGAGTTTTATAGTGTTGCTTGCTTGGTGGGCTGTTAGAAGCTGAAATTTTTCAGAAGAGATTATTGCAGGAAGTAGATGCTATTTTGTATGATACTTGAATTAAATTTGGGGTTAGGGTTCTTGGAAGGTCTCGGAGGGGGTGCCTTAGAAGTTTTAGGAGGTGTTATGCAAAGAACAGCTATTACTCATCCCTCTGTGGCACATCGGATCCTGATTTGCTCTTTGGATTATCTAATCATTGCCAGTGCTTGGGGTGGAAGTAATTACAGTGGCAATTTCAACTAATTCCTATTCATGGAGTGGTGTAGAAAATGTTGATTTGAGGAATAAATGAGCTAAATATTCCTGACTGAATAGACACCTAAGACACATTTGGGGCTGCTTCTTGTTAGAACTGTTTTGACAGCAGCATCAATATAAACAATTAATGTGTTATCTTCTACTTGAGAAATATTGACATCTCAGACACACACTAGATCATAATGACATCAAAGACCTAATTACTTGCTCTATATTGTGGCTTATGCAGGCTCAGTGATTAGTTCTCTGTTCTGGGGTGTCACATTCTCTTCTGTGCATTGACTGTGCATGGACTGTGTGGGGCAGGAGCTACTAAATGTGACATGGCTAGAGGATTTTGTAGGTCTTTGTTAATCAGCTGTGGAGGAACACATCTGCTGATGAGAATGCCATTACTTAGATGCAAAAAAAGGGGCTTTTTGTTTTCCGTGAACTACGTTTTGAGCAGTATAGTTTTGTGGGGAGAAAAGGTTCAGCCGCAGTTATGTAAAAGTGCAGTTGATGTGTTCATTGTTTAGTCTAGGACAAAATAAGTAGTGGAACTCCTTAAACAGACAATGCAGAAAGCTAATGTGCTGACCGGGAGCCTGGAGATGCCATAGAACAAGCTGATTAACTGATAAGGAATTTCAGAGGAGGAACCTCTATGCCCCAACTAGTTTTCCTCCAGTTTTAACAGGTTGTGATGAATAATGCACCTTCCTTTCTTCTCAAGCTTCAGTTCGAACCATCTTCAGCTAATGGTGTTGGTATAATGAGGTGTTCCAACTTTGAGAGGTCTTTTTATTCTTTTCTCTCCTTGAACCAGAACTTCAAGTCCAATATTTATTCCAGAAGCAATAAAATTCTAATGGCGCCAATATCTAGTCATCCACTGTGCTCAATGTCAATAGCACCTAGTGATTTTGGAAGGGTGATGACAGCTTGGATCTGTAGTCAATCGGAGGCAGAACAAAATTCCGTATTTCCTTACTAATCTAGGATATCCTTCTCCTACTCTGCCTCTGCTTGTCTGGATGCTGCTGAGGTCAGAACTGTGGCTACAGCTTTGAGTTACTTCTGGCCTGAAGTGCTCCCGAGCCCAAATGTCTCATATATGTTCCCACTTTGTGCTTGTGCTTGTCCTAGGGCATATTGCGTAATGCCGAGTGCATTACAAAAAGATTCTGGTCTCCTCTATGGGCCTTTAATGCTTCAAGTTAAAAATGCAGCTTTTTTGAAAAAGCAAAAAGACTGAGCAATCACACAGGAGACTCTCTGGAGGTTTGGGAAAAACTTTCGTGTGGAATCTGATGAGGTAACCTAGGCTCAGCAAGCAAGATTCGCAGAAAGAGGCAGAACTTTCTCAGTATAAGTTGGTGCATACTTGAATTCCTGTTTTGATGGTAAGCTTTCATTTTGGTCAATGTCTGGTAATTCGTGAACAATGCAATTTAAGCTTTTGCATTCAACAACGTGCTGTTGAGTTGGCCAGTAAGCTGGAAATTTGCATGAAGGTCTTGATGGGTTCAGCGGCTACCTGGCCTCCAAACAGCCTGTCAGCGTGCCAAAGGCTTTCCCAGGCAAGCGGCCAGGAATGTGCGTGCCTGCACGAGGCAGACCCTGAACGTGGAATTCCCACTGGTCAGAACGGCCTTAGGGTCTGCGGTTAAATGATCTGGCTTTTCTGTTACCCAGTAACGTTTTTCATGCTGATGTCTGCCTGTATAGGCATGTAGAGTTCTATCTCTTCTGCTTCTCTAGTAGAACCTCCATTCCTACCTGCCTGCTCCAGTTTTCTTTGTATCTGCCTTAAGTATGCAAAATTAGAACCATTATCAAATTCATTAAAATGGAAAATGTTACTTGAAAAAATTAAAGTTATTTCCTAGAAATCCTACATTTGCAAGCATCCTGATTCTGACTTTTTCTTTCTATAAGCTTTTATGCAAGCATTCACTGTCTTCATAAAAATCTCTACTGGTATCATAATTTAAAGGAGATGGGTTGCATCTGTTAGCCTCACTTTTTTGAGTTTAAGCTACCAAGAGGCATTAATTGTAGCTCTGGAGCAAAAGCTGATTTATGAGTTTAACTTGTATGCAAATATTAGAGATATTCAAGTCATTGGAGATGCCAAGTTTACTCTCTTCTGTCTCTAGATTTACCAGAGATGCTGGTTAGTATTCAAAAAAGCTTCAAGCAAAGGGCCAAAGAGGTTGGAGAAGTTCTCAGATGAGCGTGCTGCTTACTTTAGATGCTATCACAAGGTAAGAACTGATGATATGCTTGTTTCTCAAAATTTGTTTTTACATACAGGAAAGAATAAAAATTAAGTCGCCATGTATTACTTGGGCTGAAAATTTGAACTTATTTACTCTCAAAGTACTCGACTCACTTGCATATTCCTTCATTTGGTATTGTAGAGGCAGAGCGAGCATTACATCTTCGTGCTTTACAGCTATCCATCTTGCTAAGCTAGTGGAATATGTCTCTAATATTTTTATAGAACAAGTCCTTTCCTCCCTTCAGCCTAATCCTTTTTGCTTTAGATCAGACCTGAAATACTTCAGAATGATTACTCTTAATCATAATTAGAATAATAACTGTCCAAGGTGATATGGCATGAATTCAGAAAGTTGGATACTTAAGACAGGTTGCTATTTTGCAAGGATTTTGCATCCGTGGGAGGACATTAGACACTTGCAGAAATGAAAGGCAACGTGGATCTTTTTTTACATGCAAATTTTTCTTGAAGTGATGATATGAAAACCTTTGCTAAATTCACCAATTTTAACGAATATAGTTTTCCGTCTAAGGGCTTTACTGAAGTTTTGTGTGCTGTTCATAGTCATCTGAGAATTTACACATGTTATTCTCCTGGGCATGGAGATGAAAATAAGAAACACTTTAATATATTTTGCAAAAACTTTATACATTAGATTAGGAATTAGATGCATAAATTCCTGGGAATCAAAAAGCACAGCTCAGTTGGAGGCTGATCTACGCTTATTTACTTTGACACATATTTAGGAGGAGATTTGGAGAGAATACTGGATCTGAATTCTTGGATTTATCTGCCTACATGCCACAATTTGTAATTGATCGGTCATAAAACCCTGTGGCTATTTCTACTAAATCATACTCAGAAATAGTATATCCAAACTTAAATTAAGGAACTTTCAAAAGTACTGGGTCTTGGTGTGTTGAACTACAATAAGGCATGCAAAATCTTGGTTTCTAGCAGAAAGCTTACAGTCCAGCTGTATGAAATGGGGAGCTCTTTCTGACCCCATATGATCCTGGCTGTTGCAGGCGAGCCTGCAGATACCTCTTAGGGCTGCATGGCTTGGCAGCAGGATATTCGTCTGTGGGAGTTGACTCTGATGTTGTCCTCACTGTTCATTCTCTGCATCTATCATTCCTCTCTGCACGCTCTGTAAATGAAGCAGTGAAGTGTTGTGATCCAGGTTGCTTAAGCACAGTTAATTAGGGTCTGTGGGCTGCCATTCACCTCTGTGCTGTTACTGTTTGGCAACGGGGCTCTGCAGCATCCCCATTGCTTCACCGAGATGCCAACTGAGGCTGTTTCCTAGTTTGGCAGTCAATGACTCTAAAACTTGACAGGTTCTGCTTATTTTTACTGAACATAACTGAGAGGAAGTTGAATATTAAATAGCACTTCCTGACAAAAACGTGTTAACTTACAAGGAGAGAACATGTGGATAAAAGTGATTTTCATCTTCTTAACTAAACTTTGCAGAGGTGTGAAATTCAGAGGTGGTGAATGATGCAAATACTTCTAATAGTGTTATGCAATGAGGTGTTAAAAAAGAGCCAAATGACACTACTGCTGTGTAGTTGAGCCGCTTCTTTTAAGAAGCGTGACTGATAATTAAAAGACAACTTATTATTTCAGACACTTCATCTAACAGCTTCTAGACTAGCTTCTAGTTTGCTTTTTCGTGTGTCATGTATGTGGAGTCATAGCTGTTGCCTTCATCTCAGTGCACCTGGGCAGGTGTTGTAGGAATGGCTTGGCGATGTGTAGTCTTTTTGTGACTGTTCCGATTTGTCACCTTCTCACAGTCTGACAGTGAAGTTAAATGTACAAATGAGAAGACCAGTCAGTCTTGTTAACGTGTCAAGTGTCACTGTGTCCAGAGTTTGTGCTAGTGAACCTAAGGACGAATGCGGTGCAGGTGATGCTGTGAGAGAAAACCTTCCATAGAGTTTGTTGATGTTTAAGGTGGTTGCTGACCTCCTACGATGCTGTGAGAGAAAACCTTCCATAGAGAGAGAAAACCTTCCGTAGAGTTTGCTGATGTTTAAGAAAGGTGGTTGCTGACCTCCTACCTGGGCTCTGAATCCTCATTCTCCAGCTCTGATGAGAGCAGCATTGGACTGAGAAAACTGGGGAGTCCCTGTTCACCTCATCTATCTCAGGAAAGTTTTAATTCATTACAGAAATGCAGAGGACAGGAAAATAGTAGTGAATGCAGCTAAGTTGTCTCCAAAAGCACCTACTTCCCTCAGTGTTGAATTGTTTCTTTTTTTTCTGTGATGAATTCAAGTGCAAATGTTGCTTTTGGTTAATCAAACTGGGAAGAATCTGTCTTGAGCTTTGTTCTGTTGCTGTTTTGGTACCAGCTCCACATCTGGCCTGCTGTAGACAGGCTGCAGCAGAGTCCTGGTCCCGGGCTCAGCTCCCCAGGGTTGTGCTCACACCGGGCTGTGCATGCAGACATTGGGCTTGTGACATCCCTGCCCTGTTATGTAGCTATGCGCTAAAAACTCAATTTTGACATCCTTCCCCCCCAAAGCTTGATGGGGTAACCCCCTTTTTCCTCCCTATCCCACGTCCATCTCTTCCCACCTCTCATTTTTACTGGGGAGATTTTTCTCACGTGCTTGTTAGGCTCTGCTAAAGCATCAGCAGTCGTGGATCTTGGTTGCTGTGAGCTGGGGACTCCAAGATCCTGATGGTGGATTGGTGCTGATTAGTTAGCTCAGTTTAATGGGTACATGTTAGAACTAATTAAGTTCAGTTCATATTCCAGTTCCAGAAACGTGGACACTCATATGTTAGGCAACTTTAGTTAAGAGTGTGCTTGTCGTGATCATCTTATATGCACTTTCTCAGAAATCGTGTGTGGTGAGGGAAAAATCTATTTTAGGTAAGAAATCAAAATCCTATATTCATTGCATCTCTCTCTTTATGTGTAATCCATAGCTAGAGACTTGTTGATAGCAAAGTCACTGTCTAGAGAAGTTTGAAAGAATAAAAATAAATACATTTTTAAGTAATATTGACTTATAAATGCTCTGCAATCTTATTTTTTAAAACATGGGAAGGTTAGTACACTAAGGATTTGGATAGTTAGGATTTAGATTGTTTGCTTTCTACAAAGACACAAGTTATCTGAGAAACAGTCATCTGTAGCTTATGAAGTGCACTGGAAATTTGCATTCACAATGTAAATTGCCCACTTAATTCCTTAGTCCCACAAGGGAGAGAAAAATAATTAGGATCCAGGCTACAAAATCTGGACAGAAAATTGCTGCTCAGGTAGCTGTCTAGCTTTCATTTGGTAAATATAAATAAATAATCATCTACAAATTACCATATGTTTTAACAAAATAATATTGGGAGCAAAGCAAAAATTGTTTCTCTAAAGGGCTTTTGACTTTGTAATGTACCAGAAGAATCATTAATATTCCAATATAAAGCCAGCTAATTGCATACTGCTGACAGGAATATACGGATTCCTTCAGGGGATCTAAGTTTTAATCCGATTGTATTAATCTTGCCTTGAAACAGCAGAAGTAATTTAAACGGTCTTTCTGCCTAGTTACGGAATAATCCATTTGGAAAATTGAATTGTGTAATTTGTAATTGTTTTCCAGGCTTGCTAATGCAAAACTGTATTGGTAGCAAATTAATTGTTTAAAGTATGACCACTCTGCTAATCGCTGGCTGTTAAACATTTATTTTAATGAATACTATCACTTACCATGAATAAAACGTCTGGTGTGGGGCTTTCAAAGAATTAAAGTTACTTTTCAGGACGCTTGATGTCTTTATTGCGATGCTGGATTTGAGGCTCGTAGCAAACCTGTGGGGCATGGACGTGTCACTTGTGTAGCAAGAAGGACCCAAGGCTTGTCACAAAGCTCAGGGTTGTGGCTCTGGTGACAGCTCTGGCCCTCATGTGGCTTGAGGGGCAGTTTCTGGTTGAGTAAAAAGTGAATCTCTATTTGGTGTCTGGTAGTTCTTCTTGGCTTTTGATTTTATTTACTACTACTTCTTTTCCCATGTTTGCATAGGTAAATGTGTAATGGCAAATGGCAAAAGCACAAGTGCGCTGGAATAGCAGCAGTGACAGCAGTGACTCCTGACCGTGTCCGTGTCCCCACCACCGGGTATATTTACAGTTATCCGAGGCAGAAGATGAAGTCTCTAAGATGAAAACACTGGATATTTGCAAACCATGGACAGTGGCAGTTGTGTAGATACCTACTCCCATGTGTACTATACTGAAAGGCTACTGATATTTAAGAATTATATGCAATTCAAAAGGATATGAGAGCTATCTTTTGGTACACTCTGCATTGGCATGATTTTTTTGTAGAGAATATGGTGGCACTGAGATGGAAGAAAATTTGCTTGAGCATATCTGGTCAGGGTGAGGCTCTGTCTGCTTGTAATGTCACTTGAGAAATTAATTATTAATCCCTGTTCTTGTCCCTGAGCTCTCACCACAGTAGCTCAGCAAAGTATTATAGATTTTTATCTAGTGTAATGTGTCTCAATTATATAGTTTGTCACCTTAACAAAAAGGAGGCCTGAAAGTAAGACAGAAGTGTGCTAAGGAAAGTATCTTTAATCACTACAAAAGATAACATTTTTCTTAATATTTTGCTGTTAAAAACTGCCTTAGGATTGTATCCTCTGAGCTCTTGCTTTTTAGCATTAAATTTATAAACATAGATTATTGTGTACTTTTATTTGTCCTTGATTAAGGAATTAAGCCAACCATGAAAACACTTTCTTCCCAGAGTTGGGCAGGAGGAGAATTGTTGCAGAAATGCAGGGAAGAAGCTGGGCTCTCGGCTCCTTGCAGGTGCTCGCTGGCTGTTCCCGAGCTCTTTCCAGGAGCGCGGGAGAGGGGCTGTTCCCAGCCTGCTGCTTCTGCTGCTAATTCCGTGCGTAAGTGCCAGACACTCCGAACCATCTGTTGCCTAAGTGCGAGCAACGGGAAGGCGGTTTAGGCACCTGGGATAATGACAGTATTTTGAAGCATCTTGCTGGGTGACACAGCAGAGCAAATAGCAAGTGATCTTTAAGCAGGTTTTCCGCAGGAACACAGGCGTGCTGTTGAGCCTCAGCAACAGGAATCGTTTCTTGGCTAAAGCTGGATCTTGCACGGAGGGGACTTCACGTTTCTGCACTTGATTTTGGACCCCTTTCCTGTGTCCCCTCCCTCGTCCCAATGTATAGCCCACAGATGGGGGTTGTTACTGCCCTGAGCATTAAGTTGAATATATACTCCTCGTATTCTCCTTTCTTCCTGCCTTCCCTGTGTACCCACCCCGTGGACCAGGGAAAAGAGAATCATGCTGAGCTCCACTCCTCATGCTGGTGACATTCGTGTGCTCTGAATCCTTATTTTCTGCTCCCATGTTGAGAGAGGGAGAGGTTTCTCCTGTAAAGATGACTTAATTTTGGTTGACATCTAAGCAAAGCAAAACAGACCACGGTAACAGTAACAGATGAGAGAAATAATCTGTTTTCTTTATTTCATAATGCAGTGTGGTTAGGAGGAATACCCTAATAAAAAGTAAATGTAGGAGAAAGCAGGAGCCTCAGGAGAGGCCATTTGCCATCCCCTGGTCAGTGCAAACCTCTCCTGACCTCACTTAAACCCTGACGTGATGCTCTCAGGATTCATTGCTGCAGAGCCAACTGCTGTGTTATCCAGCAGCAGCAGTGTTAAATGCTTGGTTATAAGAAATGAGCTTTCTTGTTGGAACAAATCCCAGATAAATAATTCATTAGCAAAATGTATGGCTAAATTCTGCGACTGTTAACTTGAACTTGGTTAGGTACGTGCTTCATCATTGGTCCCAGTTTCATTAATATGCAGCAAATGTAAATGTGTTCAGTATAAATGTCAGGGTAGCTGTGTCCTGAATGAAAAAGCCTAGCTCTTTTATTAATTTATTTATTTTTTTGTCTTGCATTTGAATAATTTTGTGACGCATGAGAAGAATGAGAGTTGAACTTGGCAGCTGGCGATTTGTGCTTGACCCGTCACGTGCCGTGTGCAGTGGGAACCCGTTATGACAAATTCCTCATATTTAATAGAATTTTTCAATGCCTAGTGCTGGGGAATGTGCTCCTATCACAGGACCTCCTGGAAGAGTAAGAAATGTTCATGCAAACTTAAGCACAATTAGGAACCCTCAGTTTTTACATGTAAAATTTTGAACCTGGAGGCTCTAAAACCTGGTTTCTGAACTTGGCAGCTCTGGCAGAGGGCTTGGTGTGTTCCCTGGGGGATGTTCTGTTCATTTTGGCACTTCCTTCTGTCTCCTAGTTACTCTCTGTAGTTTCTTAATTTTTCAGCCAAGACCATTGCTGTATTCCTCTGTTAAGCGTTAATATAGCTCAGTACAAGACCATTCCACAAGGTTCTGGTTGGTATCACCAGTGGGACCACAAGAATGAAGGTACCTGTTGGTTATTCATCTAATTATTAAAAAGAATCAAATAATGAAGAGTTTAAAGAGTTTAAGAATACTATGTATGGGCACGAGGGTGAAAAACAGATACTAAAGTGGTAAAATGTGATAAATATCTGTTTGCTGAAGCTATATGAAAAATAAAATTCATGCTTAGATTTTTGGAAGGAAAGCTGTTTTTAGAATCCTTTTTATTGCCACCCAAGCAACAGAAGCTTGTCTAAAACCCTGAATTCCCTTTATGAAATTTCAAAACATTTGAATATCTTTAAAAAAAAAAAAAAAAGCTATTTCTAATGAAAAGTTGAAAATTTGCAAAAACTGTCCACTTAACTTTTTAGCCTGTATATTTTATTAGATATGTTTTTTATTAGACTTCTTTTTCTGTTGTGTCAAAAGCTGCGTTAGAACTTGCTTCTCCAAATGTGTGAATTCTTTATAGGCATTTAACCTCTATTTGCTTCTGCGACATCAGGAGGTTTTTTCCCAAATATTTTTACTTACTTATTTTTCCAAGTATTTTTAATCTAGACATTTCCTGAACTGATGCAAGCACCGATTCTTCCTCCAGCCTCTGGTTTCAAATCCTGTTTGGATAGGTTGCACTGAAGGAGTTGAAGGGGAGGAGGTGGCTGCTTTGTCATCCAGAGTCTTCAAGTGGGTTCTCTCTTGGTTTGTTAAGGGCAGGTTCTTGCACTCAGTTGCTCCTTGCAGTCTGCACTTGGCATAATTATTTTCCCTCCTTCTGCAGGCAATAATATATTTTTAAGACCCGAATCAGAGCTCCAAATCATGTTTTTTCAGGTCACAGAGCTCAATAATGTGAAGAACATATTGCGACTGCCAAAAGGCACGAAGAAGCAGGCTGTTGGGATTTATTTCACTGATGACACATCCAAAACCTTTGCTTGTGAGTCAGGTGGGTAAAAGGGAAAAGTACATGAGAAAACATAGGGGCATTAATTGTGAAATTATAAATGTATTATACCCACACACAGATTTTCTGGGCATTTATACAGAACTTGAGGCAGATGAGTGGTGCAAGGTGTTGCAGATGGAGTGTCTTGGAACACGGATCAATGACATTAGCCTTGGAGAGCCTGACTTGTTGGCATCCGGAGTGGAAAGGGAGCAGAGTGGTAGGTACATAAAATGTTGACCTTTTAAGTACTTATTGACTGTATTATTTTGAAGTTTTTGGACTGTAATATTAAAACTAGAAGTTGGTGTAAAGAAAATTCTGGATTTTGTTTTTCAAGGTACTCTCTTTTTAAAGTTATTTTCTTTGTTATGGCCAGAGATAAGCATACTGTTCATGTCATGGATTTTAGATATATTTTGGAATAGCACTTTTTCTTTGCCCCTGAGGATAGGGACTTTCTTGTCTGTGGGTTAGGGTTTTTTTGTTGTTATACAGGATCTGCTACAACAGTTTCAGTCTGTGACTGAGGCTCTTAAGCAACATTGTAATGTGAATAATAAATAATAGTAATTGCATGCAAAACCTGAGCCCAAGGCTACTTCACATTCCTATGCAAATAAATTAATTACATGCACAAATGTGTTTGCAGTGTATTTATTCATGCACGCAATTTTATTAATTGCTTGCAAAGGTCAGGATTATGATGGTGCAATTCCTTTCCATATCTCAATGCACGCATAAATCTTTTTTCCTTTCCATATCTCAATGCACGCACAAATCTTTTGAAGCCCTTCGTGTGTAGCGTTTTGGCTGCCCCAGGCATTGAGTTAGTGGAAGGAGCTGAATGTTTGCTCTTGGATTAATTGTTCAAAGTGGAAATAAAATCTTGTAATAGAGGTGGAAAATAGGAAATTCCTTTAATGATTTGTACATTTAATGAGCAGGGATTTTAGACTAACCTTTTGTTTTTCTCCCAGAGAGATTCAATGTGTATTTGATGCCATCCCCTAATTTAGATGTGCATGGGGAATGTACCTTGCAGATAACATTTGAGAATATCTGTCTTTGGGACATCCAGAATCCCAGAATAAAACTCATCTCTTGGCCATTAAGTGCCCTCCGACGCTATGGACGGGACCCCTCTTGGTTCACGTTCGAAGCAGGGAGGTAGGTGTGTTGCTGCAGCGCGTTGCTTTCCGTGGTGGTGTTGGGTGGTGAGCACGGAGCAGACGTTCCTCAGGCAGAGGCTAGTCTATATAGTAGTATAAAATACTGAAAACAAATATAAAGGGAGAGCAAATAAAGCTGCTAATCCCCTATTGCAGCTTGTATGCAAGCAGGAGCCTGTGGGTGGGTGAAAGGGGGAGAAGAGATGGAATTATTGGGAGAGCTGCAATGTTCAGGGGGCTACAGGAGATGGTTGACAAGCGCTGTATGTTACGCTATAAAATAGTTATACAAGAGAAAAAAAAATCCAAAGTTATACTAGAGAACTGGAGGAACAGATCTGGGGAGAAGGGGTGCTTGTATTCCTGAATTTGTACTACACGGACACTTGGGCACAGTGGGGTTTTAAGCAGCTCTATAGTAGGAGAATTGGAGTTTAAAATTGAGCAGTGAGTGCCAAGTTATTTCCTAGAAGCAAGGTAAGATAATGGAGAAAAGCCTCTTATTTTCCATGGGTTACACTCCTGTTTTCCATCTATTTGACAAATGGGTTCATAAGGAATTTTGAAAGCATTTCCCTGTCTTTTGGAGATATTATTCTCTATTGCTGCCTGCAACTTTTTAATGAGCTGAGGTGTTTGTTTGTTGAACTAAACCATCAAATACTTTTTAAGTGATATGGATACATTATTTTAGATAAACACATTAAAGAATTATGATAGTAAAAGAACTAGATCATACAGTTAACTTACCTGGAAAAAGAGGGGACATTTAAAGGTCCATCTTCCCTACAACTACAGGATTTACTTATTTGGGAAAAGGGATATGTTTCTGTGTGTATGTACCCAGACATTTATCATTTAGTTGTGATGATAAGACAACGCAATTGGGAGTACTAGAAAAGTTTGGAAAGAGTTAGTGTGGAAAATCAGCAGAACAAATTTCTCAGTGCTCTTATGAACAGATTTCCTTGGTTTAATAAAATTTAACTTGATCATTTAAAAACACATACAGGAATAGAATTATTTCTTCCCTTTCCAAGGGTTCAACACAAACACAACATACAGCATCTTCAGGATAGTTACCAGGGCTCTTTACAGGCAGTGTTTAAAAGCCTGGAAGGTAGAGAAGATAGAGCAGTTTGGCACGTAGATTCTAATGAGGAATCTAAATCTAAACTTTGGGTCTTGAGTGTGTTCTCTCGAGAGTTTAAAAGATTTGTGTGCCTGTTTGACAGAAGATGCAGTGAGGTGGATTGTAATAATAAGACTGGGCTGGAGGTCTAAAGCGTGGAAGGCGGAGAGGATAGAGCAGTTTGGCACGTAGATTCTAATGAGGAGTCTCAATCTAAACTTTGGGTCTTGAGTGTATTCTCTCCAGAGTTTACAAGACTTGTGCGCCTGTTTGACAAAAGATGCACCAAGGTGGATTATAATAGTAAGACTGGGCTGGAGCTCCAAGGACTGAGACATGAAGGCTTGTAGATGACTTTGTTCTGTATTTCAACAACCCTTTGCTTTTCTTGTTACCTGTGTGATGGTGCTTCTGCAGCAGCATGCTGAAGTTGAACTGTAAAGATCACCGTGACCAAGGGAAATCCTCACCTTTGGATGCTGTCTGTTCTCACTTGGCAGGATGTGTGACACGGGAGAAGGACTATTCATCTTTCAGACAAGAGAAGGGGAGGCCATCTACCAGAAGGTGCACTCGGCCGCTTTGGCCATCGCAGAGCAACATGAGCGCTTGCTGCAGAGTGTGAAAAATTCAATGGTACGGCTGCTAGTTACACTTGTTACCTTGCCCGTGGCACCAAAAAGTAATATATTGCTGCAGTGTGATTTTTACCTTTTGATTCAGAGATAGTAAGTGGTCTGATTTGTTTTTCTTATTAACTTGCTTCTGCTTGAATGTAGTATTTACAACTATATGTAGCTGGGATTGCTTATCGAGATTCAAAAGAACAGGAGAAATACTAATGCCTTCGTCCTTTTTTCTTCTGTTTTTGCAAAACCGTCAGTAAGTATTAAATGATACAGAAGAGAGGATCAGATCTTGTCAGTGCACATTTGCCATTCTCATTAGATTTCCTTAATTAATCAGCATCATGAGTCTGGAAGCATTTCTCATCTATTTATTTGCAAAATATTGTGGCTAATGCTCAGTTTGCCGTTTGTTAATTGATGCCTATACTTCAAGGATGATTTGGAAAGAGTCATATGGTTCTAATTAAACTGTGGGTGGGGGAGAAACAAGATGCTTCTGATCTCCCAGTGGATGTCTGTTTTCCACATGCCTTTTGTGTCTTCCACTGCTTTTGTGACACTTGCAACTCTTGGAAAATGTAGGAGTAAGATGCAGAACTAGCATACAAATTGAAGCATCTGGAATCTGCAGAAGGAAGGTATTTACATGACACACCTAAAGAAGTCAGGCATTTTTAACTCATCTTTTTCCTAATGAAACCTTTGGGGCCTCCTGCTCCAATGACCAGAGGGTGCTGGCTCCCTCAGGGCTGGCTGCTGAGGACCATGGATCCATCCCCTCTCGCATGGGCCACTCTGGTGCTGAGGGGTGGCTTCATGTTGTGTCTTTCTGCTTCTTCCCTTCTGCTATTTCCTTTGTTCTGAGAACTTACCATAATCCCTGCTGCATGAGGAGGGAGCCGCTGTTCAGCCATTTGGCAATCTTGACCACGTTGTTTTTTTGGCTTTCATCTCTTCCCCTTCTCCTAGGGCAGATAGTGAGAGGCTATGGATTTGTTGTTATCTTGTTAGCAAAGTACTTGTTAATGATACATGGAGTTGGATGTCCTGTCCCGTGCTCCACTTGCTACTGTCTTCCAGGCATGTTCCAGCATATCAGTTCCAGCATATCAATTCCAACTGCTTCCGAGCTGCTTTTCAGCACCAAGAGCCTATGTAGAATAAAGCCAGGTCATTACCAAGTTATTCCTACTCTCTTGGTTGCCACAGAGATACAGTAGGTTAATTATGAGATGAAATCAATCATCGTTAGAGCTTCCTGTGCACATGGTTTGGGGTGGTCAGATAAAGTCCTCTTGTATTCAAGATGTAACATACTAATTCTTTTTGCTAGCTGTGGTTTTCATTTTTTTTTTCCCTGTACTGATTCAGTTTAGGAGGGACAGTGTAATTCTGTGTCTGTGTCTAACCTGCTTTTCCCTAGCAGTTTGTGTCTTTCTCCCAAGATATGCTATTGCTTTTTGCTCTCCAGTCAGCTGAAGTATCCACCTCCTTTAGCTTGCCATTCAGCTCACCATTAAATGGAGCCACCAAAAAATAATCTACAGTTGGGAAAATGTCAGACTCGCTCTGCTGATTTTTTTTTTTTTAATTATTATTATTTTTTCTTTGTTTCCAGTAATAGATTCTTAGTTGTTTGTTTCCATGGTGCTGAAATGTGTGTGGTAGTACTGCAAGTCCTATTCAGGCTTTATTGAAGGAACTGTAATAGTGCATGGTACCATGTAGGTGGAAAGTTGCATTGTGCAGAGTGATTCACATCTTGCTGACTTGGAGGTGGGTGTATAAAAAGTAAGAGTTGGCTTGGTTTATTTATCATCTTGGATTGTTTTACATCCGGATCATAGACATCATGTCCGCAGTAGAGAGAAGAGGCTGAGAGTGGATGATTGCATCTAACTAACTTCCCAATGGCTCTCTGCAGAGACAGCCCTTATCTCTGCCTTACCTCTGTGCTTGCTTGACCTCTTCATTTTCACTCTAAAATATCCTGAGAGTTCTGTAAGATTCAGGTTCTATAAAAGTAAAATGTAAATCGTTTATTCCTTTATAAAAAGCTATTGTTATATATTTGAAAAATCAAATTCAAGATCAGTATATTCAAACTGTTTATTTTTGCTGGTTTGTTTTTTCCCCTGGGCTTTTGGAGGAGAATTTTAGCTGTACTGTGAAACTTATTTTAAAACCTGAATATTTTTTATCAACTTATGGAAAGTTCGTGGAAAAACTGCATTAAAGTGGTCATTTCTCATATATTTTTTTTATTAAACCCACTGTAATTGAGAGGCCTGTGATTTCATGGGAAAACAGCTGAAGATGCTCTCTGCAGAGGAGGAAGGGTGAGGTGGAGCTTCCAGCAATGTACTTGAGCACCATGCTCCCTCCCAGCCCACCTATACGCACCATCCAGTTGGCATGTTCCTCAGCTGTAGGTGATGAAAGTTGGAAAGAAAATGCATTAAAATTAGCAAGTGTAGATTGTCCTTGATCATGAGAAACCTCAGCTGGACTCAGGGGGTAGTGAGGCTGCAGTCAGCTCCGGGAGCTGGGTCTGCGTTGTTGGGAACCTTGGTGGATTTGCTACTCGGAAGGGATGGACCCACACTGTGCTGTCGTCTGCTGATCCCCAGTTTCTGTTTCAGCTGCTCGAGTTAGAGCTGCCTCCCAGGGAAGCAGCCCTATCCCAGCACCAGGGAAGCACAGGGGTGAGCTTTGGTGGGCACCAGCACCCAGCAGCGTGTGCCTGGCCGCCCAATCCACACACTAGTCACAACCATGGAGGGTGGGCAGATGGGGCAGGAAGAAGACACCATGGTTACTGCATTAGAACTTCTTGCAGGCAGTGATCTTGCTGTTCTCAGGAAATGTATAACAAACACAAGTGTCTCCTCCGTTCTTTTCCCGCTCTGCAGCTCCAGGTGAAAATGAGCGAGCGAGCCGTGTCCCTCGGCGCCATGGTGCCCTTGCCCCGCAGCGCCTACTGGCAGCACATCACGCGCCAGCGCAGCACTGGCCAGCTGTACGGCCTGCAAGGTAGGGACGGGGCGCGACACGGTGGCTGTGTCCGTGGCATCGCCACACGGACGCTGCCGCCGCCTCACGCATGTGGCACTTGGACGCGCGCGGCGCGTGGACGCACGCGCTGCCTCTGCCTCACGCATGTGGCGCTTGGACGCGCTTGGCGCTTGGACGCGTGCGCTGCCGCCGCCTCGGCTCGTGCTGGTGCGCGACGTAGGCAAGTTGCCACTTGCTGTTATGGCTGATGGAGGCAGGGGCACATCCCACCTCCGTGGGTGACTTGGGGATTCACCTGTGGGCCCCCGGGAAGCCTTGGCACCCTCTGCTCATGGTGCTCACTGAGGGACGTGTCTCCGGGCACCTAGTGGGGTGCGAGGTGGGGGACGGGACGCCGCTGTGGGAGCACCCGCTGACCTCTTTCTGCTGAGGAAATGCCCGTTTGGTTCAAAACGGGTTTCAAAGTTGGGTTTTATATCTCCTGAGGTAAAGGAGGGGAAACAGCAGCACTGCCCAAGCGTTAACCTGTGCCTGACGCTGGGACATAGCTGGCATCACCTGCGTCTGCCAGCGCGGTGGAGCAGGGGCTTGATGCCTCCTGGGAGCTGACCCTACATGACTGTCTTGGGCATGCTTTATAAGTTTAAAAGAAAAAAATAAGTCCCATAAAGCCTGTTTGTATGAGCTGGCTGAACTAGCATTAATACGGAGTCAAGAAAATAGATGCAGAATGAGCAGGTAGCAAACTTGTGCTCTGTAGAGGAGCCGGGGTGTGGAGGTGTCATTGGAAGCATTCAGAAACAACTAGTCAGCCACCTTGAAAGATCCAGGGATAGAAAAACGAGCATCTTTGGAGTCTTGCCCCCAACTCTGCATCTTATTTCTCTCTCTTTTTTTTTTTTATTTTTTTTTTATTTTATGTCTTTCCCTTCACAGGGTAGGGCTTTCTCAAAGAATAATGACTTAGACATTTATTTTACTTTTTTAATAAAGCTGGAGACTCCAGGGGTTGAAGCCATCGGAGTGTGAAGCATCATGAGTTGTGATTAAAAATTGAAACCAGCCCTAAGATATATAGCTCTTTTTCATTCTTATACCCTGTTCTTCAGCAAGTTGTAAATAAAGCTATATATATATATATATTTTTCCCCTTTTTTTGGACACTAGAGGGGGTAGGCAACACACAAAAGGCCCTAACTAAAGCCGTTTGGAGAAGGGAAGAACAGTAGTACTGACATGCCTGTTTAAGCCTGTTCAATAAATTAGGGCATGGGAAGATGACCTGCTGGTGACAGCCTGTGACACACAAGGACAGGACTGCTGGCAGCACTCTGGCACTATCACTGTACCTTACTGTAGAGCCCTTTATTAAAACAATATTTCAGCCTTAAACTGCTATAAGAAGACTGCATTGGTACAAATGTTTAGGAATATTTAGGAAAATAGCTGCTTGGTAAATTGAAGAGAAGGATCCTAGAAGATTCTCCTCATGAGCGTGGGTGAAAGTCTTTGAAAAATGCTGGCCCTCAAAAATCAAGCCCACACAGGCAGCACTGCAATTAGGAGGCTGAAATTATTGCAGTTAGGGCTACTATATCAGTGGTATCCTGGCAGTTTCCAGTTATATTAGGTCACCAAAATCTCAGAATATTCTGATTATTCTTGGAGGAAATAATCAATATGAAGTAACTGCTATTCTGAGTTGTATAATATATACAGTGTGTGTGTGTGTGCGTGTGTGTGTATATATATATATATATATATATATGAAGAGTGAGAAAGAGTACAGCGTTTTACTCACTGAACACACTATTGACATTTTGTAAATACAGTGTGTTTTCCATCTCAGTTAGAATTGATGGGATTTGAATTAGGTCTCTTTTTAACTTTAACTTTCTACAAAGAAAAGACCTGGGGCTAATGTTGTGAGATAAAGGGTGGCTTTCATTTTAAATACCAAGCTGAAACTCCTTAAAATTAATTTTCTTGAAAAAAATATTTGTTAAAGAGCTGTGTAAGAAAGTCCAAGTCTCCATGTTATTTCTGAGATGGCAGCAGATTGAGCAGATACAGGTGTAATTAAAAGGCTGTAATCTGTATTTCAGAATTACAATAGGTGGTGTTTCGTAGTGGTCTGTTCCTTACTGGTGTTGTTCTATTTTTACATCCGACTTGGCGAAGATGTTTCTAGTCCGACGAAGCTTCATCGAACGGACACTTTTCCCACCTACAGATCAGAGCATCGATAAAGGACCGTAAAGAACTTTACAAACTCTTTGTCTTCTGCCGAACTGCCCCCATGGATGGCTGTGATGACGATAAGCAAGGATGGAAACACTGAAAAATTCAGGTTGGATGAAAAGTTCTTGCAATACAGATTTTTTTTTTAAAACCCTACCAAAAGGTAAATCTGTTCTGTAGATAATTTGAAAAAAATAAAAATAAACAAACAAACCCTCCAGTGCTTGTTTTTTTTATCTTACAGCTGGATGGAGAAGAAATCTCTCCCTAAATGTTCTAGATGTTTTTGTATAATATGTATATTGTAAATGGCCAACTTCTGTTTTATAGTAGTGTGGCTCCACTTTGTCCATTACCGTAGTGGTTCTCTGAACTCAGTAGGGGTGTCATGCTTCTTGTTTGTTGTAAAGCTAATCCTTTAGTTATGAACATTATTAGCCTGCCTAATCCTTGACCTTTGAAATGGTGGACAGTTTTAAGCAGTTCTTGGCTACATTTTTTCCTATTTGCAGCCTGATTAAGACTTGATAGATTTTTTTTTCTTTTAAAATCACTCTATTTCTTGTATTTATTTCCAACTTTGCAATGTTTAAAATAAATTTTTCCTGCTTAAGTTGTAGTACTGCATTTACTACTGGTAAATAAGCATCCTTTCAGCTATTGTACAGCTGCTGTTGTGCAAGAGGGAGGATGGTGTGGGAAAAAATGTGGTTTGCTTTAGGTCCTTCCTCTACAGCCAAAGCATTCAACCTCTATTCAGGTATGTTTGTGCAATAAAGTAGCATATTCAACAGGAATCTCTCAGTTCCACAATTTTGTGGCAGAAAACAGATTTGTTTTGCTTGATCTCATTCATGTTACATACTGTTTTTCAGATTGATACCATTGATACCACACCAACATCTTAATTTAACTGCTAAAGACTTCTCAAATATAGTTTGACTCTGTGTGCTACACCAAATGGTGAGGAATTTATAACCACTATAGAGAAGACCCATGAGTACTGCAAAAACACCTGAACCGTTGTATTTAGCTAAACATGGTTAGATCATTTTGTTAACAAGCTCTTGAGTACAAATACCTTGTCAGGGTACAAGTCAGGCTGATTGTCTCTAACCGATTACTCCTGCTCGCTTAGCTGGCTTCACTTAGCAAGCTTAAGGACTGGATCTTGGTTTGATGGTCCCAGTAGGAATTTGGTCTCTCTGCAGCTTTTTAATTGAGATTAAAAAAATATATATATGGCATACAATTGTAATGGCAATAACAGCTATCTAGGAATGGAGAATGTTACAGTTAAATTATCAGAAGATATCCTGGAAGAAAAGAAAAAGAAGGTAATAATGGCCTGCATGGGTTTGCAGATAATAATTTTTTTCAAAGTAGGAACAGCGGGTAACTTGATTTTAATTCTGAATATAATTTTTTATAGAGCTCTGGGCAAGCATGTTGTTCATGACCCTCCTGATGTCTGTAAAATAAGTTTCAATGCTATACTTATAATTTTTCAGGGACTCAAAACTTTGTCTCAGAATATAAGAACAAAAATACATTTTGATTGTAGAGCTGCTGTTGACGGTCAGAGGAGCAGGATATCTGGAGCGCAGGGCTGTTCTGCCCGGCTCCCGTCAGTGCATCGAGGGGAGCAATAAGGAGTATGCTTGTTAAAACTACCATGTGGACAGCTTAAAGATCCATTCAAGAGGGACAAGTGCATCCAGGTGAGGCCCATCCCACTGCAAGGCAAGAGAAAGGCAGGAGAGCAGCCGGTTGGAAAGGGCTGTGAAGGTATGCAAGTTGATCAACAAGTTGCTGCAAAACAAATACATGCCGAAAGGTATCCAGCTTTTAAAAAAAAGTATCCAACCTTCAAGACAGCTGAAGTTGGCAAGGCCTCAGCTGGAGGCTCTATCTGGAGTGGTAGCTCCCAAACTGACATACCCAGCTACCTATGAATAGCTGTATGCTGTTACACTGCTGCCAGTTCATGCATTCCTTGGGTTGTACTATAGAACCTGTTTACCTTCCTTTATTTGATTTACTTTCCATTTGTAGCTAAGAGTGGAAGTTTCCAATTCAGTTCAGCTGGATGCTTTGTCAGTCTCCTGAAGTAGTAAGTTTTTTTTTTAAATGATTTTGGTTTAGCATCTGCATATGAGTTAGATAAACTTATGGCTATGCAAAACACTGCAAAGATGTAAAATGTTAGGTTTCTACGTCCAACAGAGTTGGGTTAACAAAACTGAAGGTGAGGGAAGCTTTCTATAAAGCAGAATGATTGAGTGTGGTGAAGGTAAATAGCAGTATTTGCTTCTGAAGGAGAAAAATCAATACACTATCCTTATTTAAGGTACACTGTAGTACTAAGATAAGCTTAATTTATAGCAAATGAGGATTATGTTCACTTTATTTCAAAGTGGGGTTGCTAACATGAGTGATTGAAAAGGCACGTTATGACTAAGGTCTTTATCTTTCAGGTTTACTTCTGCTAAAGTGTTTGCTCTAGAGCTGACAGCATCTGCTGTTTTATCATGGATATGACAGTTCAGTAAATGCTTTTATTCTCCTTTCGCTCATGTAATGATTGATATAGCATGACTTTACCTTGTGCTTGAGCAGTCCAATTATAACGAAGACAAAGACCACTCTAACCTTGGCCTTTAGATGAATGATCTTTAAATCAACCACATCTGTTACTTTTCTTTTTAGTGAAACTGTGATAGATGACAAAAATAGCCTAAAAATAATTCAGTTGAATTAAAATTAATGCTATCTGCATGTATAAGATACAAAGTGTTGCCTTTTTTTTTATTTGTGGTATCTATGAATATGACAGACGAAGTAATTTTGCATTAGCACCAACTCTTTTAGTTGGCAAGAACATTAGCTAAAACAAGTGAAGGGGTTTGTTCTTCACATAGCTACTGGATTTATGGTGAGGGAAAATTTTTCATTTTATTTGGAGGTCAGTTTTTTAGATGGTACCACAGAGCACATATGTAAAATAGTAAAGACGTGATGATGCTTTTGTGCCTGCCAGTTGGGTGCTGCTGCTGCCTGGTACCTTTGGAGAGAAGACGTGCAACTGGAATGGAAATGGTTCAAGTAGCTGAGCTACTTTCTGAAAAGATGTTCTTGAGAAAATATCCTGCAAATCCATTTGTAGAGCTGTGGGGCTAAGGTTACTGTGGATTCAATGGTAAGTGTGATGAAACGTTTTTCTTTTTTTTTTTTTTTTTTTTTTCTTCCCCTCCAGCCTCTGCCGTACACACAGGCCATTCACATTAATGTCATTTTACAGTTTTTTGAGCTTTTTTTGTGTGTAAAAGGGTGGTAACATTATTTTGGGCTAGTCAAGTACCCTTCCAAATTCTGTCACCCCTCTCTTGTATGCTTCAACCGTCTTCTTTCCAAGATGAGCACAGATCATCCTAGATAAGTTTTTCAAAGGCATAAAGGCGTTCTGCAAAGTCATCCACGCCAGCAGCTTTTTGGCTCCGTCTCACCTCTGGCATTCAATGGCTATGAGTAAGGCTGTGCTGAGCTGCGGTTCCTCAAAGATCTGACAGAAATGTCATAAAGCCTGGGCTTTCATCCCACAAAAGACCAATGACCAGTCTGCAAGTCAGAATAGAGGAGAAGGAAGAATATGTTTTACAGGTAAAAGAAGTGGTCTGAAAATAAAGTGTAGGAGCTTACGCTTTTTCAAACCTGTGCTGAGAAAAGTCTGTTTAACTATTGAACAGGCATGAGTGAGCCAGCTGGGAGCAGCACAGTGAGTAGATGGGGATGACCTTGATTGCAGCAAACTTCTGAGAGTAATGATCTTAAAAGGCTAATCTTGGAATCAAGTCCATTAGAGTGAAAATGTCATAATGTCAGGACTTCAAATTGCATTTCCTTTTTGTATACATCCTATTACAGGTAACAATGCAAATGCTGTTATCTAAAAGAGCATAGAGGGCAAGATAACTACTGTAAATCACTGTACAGTTATGAGAAATGGGATGGCTAGCATCAAGGCCATCCCATTCAAGGACTTGCCAAAAGTTGGTCCAAGGCCTTTGTGCTAGATGAGAGGAGAGCCTGGTCTGATCACCTCAATGTGCATCTCATTTCTACTCTCTGTTTATCCATCCTTTCTCAATAGCTGTTGGTCTCCTGGAGTGTTTGGATATTAAGAGAAGGTCCTCTGCTGTTGGAGGAAGGCCCCGTAGAAGGTGAGATCACTGAATATGAGATCAGTTCACCTTGATATAGTTGAGAGGCTCCATGTGGTAGTGACAAAACTCCTTTGTGGGGGAGAAAAACAAATTAAAAAAAGCAAAGGTGCATACACTGAGCACCTACAAAAGAGGTGGTGTAAAAGCATTGGAGGGAGCAGGGGCTGGTCTCCACTGCCTGGGCTGGCCCATCAGGATTCAAGGAGGCTCCCTCAGGAATTTTTATTTCTCACTGAGAAAATTTAAATTATTGAGTAGATTTTCCCCATGCTAATAACTCAAATATAAGGAACGTCATCATGATTTGGGCAAAACGAAAGTCAGGACATTGAACTTGGGTGTTGGAAAGTGTAAATTGCTTTGTTGCTTGATGAACAAGTTGCATAAAATACTTTAAAGGATATTGGAATTGTGTCTTCTTGAGGGTGTTTTCTGAGTGATGAGCTGTCTATGCTCTGGGATAGGGTTAAGGCCTGGAGTTTAAAAACAAGATATTTGCATCAAATAAAAAAGTTTGAATTACAAAGGAGACCTTATATTTTTTGGCTGACCAAGTTTTAATAGGATAACTCCTGCTTTCTTGAAGGTTAGGAGTTTCTTAGAGGGTTGTTTCAGTGTTTCAAGTGAATCAGTTTTTTCTTATGTGTTTGGGAAGTTGTTCATGTTTAGTATTAAAAGTGCCAAGATTCAAGTTTCTTTCTCTTCTGGCACCTAGCAGAAGAGCATCGTTAGTTAGTACTTAAACAGATGGACACCTCTAGAAGCTTGCAGCCATAGTGCTGTTAATTTTAATAATCACACAAAAGAAATTAATGCAAGAAGTTCTGTATCAGAGTCCAATTGCTGAGCAATGCTGTAAAGGAGTAACAATTCTGCTGCCTCAGGCACTGACATCGGGGTCAGTATGTGAAGTTTCCGGGTGTTCA